GAGGAAGTCAAGTTCTTAGGTCATGTGGTTTCCGGGGAAGGGGTGTCTGTTGATACATCCAAAATAAAGGCAGTGCAAGATTGGGCACAACCTAAGAGTGTTTTTGAGATCCGCAGTTTTTTGGGATTAGCTGGGTATTATCGCCGGCTTGTGAAGGATTTCTCCAGGCTAGCTTCGCCGTTGACTAGATTGACACGGAAAGGGGTCAAGTTTGTATGGAGTGAGACTTGTGAAAAGCCGTTCCAAGAGCTGAAAGTTAGATTGACCACCGCTCCGGTCTTGATTATCCCGAAGAGAGGTTTGGGTTATGTAGTTTACTGTGATGCCTCACGAGAGGGTTTGGGTTGTGTGTTGATGCAAGAGGGGAAAGTGGTAGCTTATGGCTCACGTCAGTTGAAAATACACAAGAGGAATTACCCTACACATGACCTAGAGTTAGTAGCAGTGATATTTGCCTTGAAGATTTGGAGGCACTACCTTTATGGTGAGAGGTTCGAGGTGTTCTTAGACCATAAGAGTTTGAAGTACCTGTTTACACAGAGGAACTTGAATTTGAGACAGAGAAGGTGGATGGAGTTCATTGAGGACTACGACTTTGAGTTGCACTATCACCCGGGAAAGGCCAATGTAGTGGCCGATGCCCTTAGCAGGAAATCCATTAGTGATGTAGCTTGTATAGCCATCGGGGAGTGGGAGATGTTGGGTGCACTTGGCGAGTTTGACTTGCTTTTGGGCGAATCCGTTGAGGCTGCGGCCTTGTTTTCGGTTGTTGCGCAGCCTACACTTATGACTCGAGTGTTAGAGGCACAGGGAGGTGACCTTGAGGTGGAGTCTTTCCGAGAGAAGATTTCCAGTGGAAAGGTTGAGAAGGGTTTAACGGTGTATCCCGACTAGAGTGCGAGATACCGAGACCGTTTGTTTGTGCCGGAGTCTTGCCGAGAGGAAGTACTCCGAGAGTTTCACCATTCACGCCTTGCGGTGCATCCGGGAGGCACTAAGATGTATCAGGATTTAGGTCACCAGTTTTGATGGCGGGGTATGAAGAGGGATGTGGCGGTTTTCGTGTCTAAGTGTCTTACTTGTCAGCAAGTGAAGGCCGAGCATCAGAGGCCAGCGGGTTTGTTGCAACCCATGCCTATTGCCGAGTGGAAGTGGGAGCATGTCACTATGGACTTCGTTGTAGGTCTTCCAAGGACTCAGCGGGGTAGTGATGCTATTTGGGTGGTTGTAGACCGATTGACTAAGTCGGGGCACTTCATTCCTATGCGCGTGAGAGATTCGGTAGATCATCTTGCCGACTTGTATATTTGGGACATAGTGAGGTTGCACGGGGTCCCAGTGACGATTGTCTCAGATAGAGATCCTCGTTTTACTGCTAGGTTGTGGTAGAGTTTGTAGAGTGCCATGGGCACTAAGTTGACCTTTAGCACGGCTTATCATCCTCAGACTGATGGACAGTCCGAGCGTACTATTCAGATCCTTGGGAATATGCTTCGGGGCTGTGTTCTTAACTTTAGTGGGTCGTGGGAGAGGCACTTGCCCTTGGTGGAGTTTGCCTACAACAACAGCTTTCAGTCGAGGATCGGTATGGCACCGTTTGAGGCCTTGTATGGACGACCTTGTAGGTCTCCAGTATGTTGGGCCGAGGTGGGTGATGCACCTTTGTTGGGCCCGGAGCTGGTTAGAGAGACGACGGAGAAAGTCGAGCTTATCCGTAGGAGGCTTGTTACAGCCCAGAGTCGTCAAAAGAGTTCTGCCGACCGTAGGAGGAGGCCTTTAGCTTTTGAGACGGGTGATCATGTTTTTCTGAAAATATCACCTAGACGAGGTTTGATGAGGTTTGGGAAGAGTGGGAAGTTATCCCCTTGGTTTATCGGTCCTTTTGAGATCCTTGAGAGGATTGGCGAGGTTGCCTATCGTTTAGCTTTGCCACCTCAGTTATCCGGAGTTCATGACGTGTTTCATGTGAGTATGCTTTGGAAGTATGAGCCGGATCCATCGCATGTATTGGATTGGACCGACTTAGAGGTTGACGAGGATGCCTCGTATGAGGAGAGACCGGTTCGCGTCTTGGATAGGCAGGATCAAGTCTTGCGAGGCAAGACCATTCCCTTGGTAAAGGTTTTGTGGAAGCATCACGGAGTAGAGAAAGCCACATGGGAACGTGAGGCGAATGTCCGTGAGAATTATCCGAACTTGTTTGTTGATGTATAATCATGTATTGAGATTTTGTAATATTGTTGAACTTTAAGAACATTATATATGGCTTAAGTTGTAAAACATGGTATATGTTTTGGTTTATGGAATTATGCTTTGGAACTTGCCTTAAAATGGAAGTTTAATGTAAACATTACATATGTTGAATGTATTGTAGAAATCGGAATGTATCATGAATATTGAATATGATATAGAATTGTGGAGTGTGGTATTGAAATTTGTGAAATTTCAGGGAATGCATATCTATAATGCATGTTATGAAAAATGTTGTAAATTGCCTCTTGAAAGGAGATGAAATGACCAGTAAAGGGGTCGAGTTGTTAAATTTCACATTATAATGATGTTGGGAATTGAGAAAATCTTGTTTTTGAAAAACTTGTATTTAATTTCGGGGACGAAATTCTTTAAGGGGGGAAGATTATAGCGATTCTGGGTTTTACCCCTTGTTGTACAGTGATCCGGACATGGTTCTGTGGATGTTAGCAGTTGTTTATATCTTGTTTACATCCTTTCGTACCTTGTATTTGAGTTATAGGATGTGTTGGGCGTGTTCTGAACAGGTAGGTTGAGTTTTGGTCTCAAGTGTAGTTGCCCAGGTTTTTGGTGTTACGCTCGAGCGGATCATTCTGCGCTCGAGCGGAGTTTGTTTTTTGGTTTTCCGCTCGAGCGGGTCTTCTTGCGCTCGAGCGGGATTTATACACTCCTAGTATCTCGTGTCCCTGCAAAACTTCTGCAGGTGTGTTTTTCACGCTCGAGCGGGTCGCGCTCGAGCGGGTAGTGCTTTGTCTGTGAAAGTTCTGGGAGGGGGAAATCTAACCCGGATGAGTTTATTGGGGATCCAAAGGAGCCACTTAAGGCTGACGACTGGCTAGAGCAGTTGAGTAAGACGTTCGAGATGCTTGGCATCGAGGACGGGGCGTTGAAAGTGACCTTGGCATCCTTCCAGCTTAAAGGGGGTGTGGGTCAGTGGTAGAAATACATGAGGGGCTGTATTGCTGGCACGTGGGAGGCTTTTGTGGAGGCTTTTCAGGAGAAGTACCTATCTCTAGCAGTCAGGAAGAAGTTGAGAGACCAGTTCTGCCAGCTTTTGCAGTTGAGTTCTTCAGTGGCCGAGTATGAGGCTGTTTTTACTAGCTTGTCCAGGTTCGCACCTAAACCTGAGGCGTCCGAGGAATGCCACTGTATAGAGTTTGAGAGAGGTTGAGGTGCGGCCTTAAGATGAGAGTTGGGGGTTCCATGATCCGAGACTATGGGCGCTTGGTTGATGCTGCAACCCATATGGAGATCATGATGCATGAGGAGGAGGGACAGAGAGGCTCTAAGAGGAGCCAGGATGGTCAGGGTGATGGCAGGAGATAGAGGGGTGCTAACCCTCAGCAGTCTCAGGGGGGTGTTGCTAGATCGACCTTTCCAGTGCCGAGTGCAGGCTCGGGGAGAGGCAATCAAGGAGATTTCACCTGTTTCAAGTGTGGTCAGCTGGGCCACAAGGCTTCGGTTTGCCCACAGAGGGGAGGAGGTCAGAGAGCTGCTTCATCTTCAGCTAAACCGCAGAGCCAGAGTCAGGGCAGGGGCCAGCCTTGTCTTGTTATCAGTGTGGTCAACCTGGGCACCTGAAGAGGTTTTACCCACAGTTGAGTGCCACTTCGGGCACGTCTGGTTCTAGGCAGACGCAGGGTTTTCAACCAGCTCAGTCTGTGCAGGCCTTGAGGGCTAATCTGGGAGCTTCGTCATCCAGTCTGTGCAGCAGTCGTATGCTCTGAGGGTGAGCAGGTGGATCAGGGGCCTACTGGGCGCATGTACGCTGTTACCGTGCAGGATCTTGTACCTGCTCCATCAGTTGTGAGAGGTACTTTCTTGTTTTGCAACTCGGTTGCTAGTGTATTGATTGATACGGGTGCATCTCATTCTTTTGTATCTGTTACATTTGCATTTGTTTTGGGATTGGAGTTGGCACAGTTAGCATCTCCTATTTGTGTAATGTCACCTATTGGGGGTGAGTTGATTTTGAAACAAGGATGTAGGGGTTGTGATATAGAAGTCACCAATCATCGGCTTCCGTTTCCTTTTGTAGTTATGCCCATGACGGGTTTTGATGTTATTTTGGATATGGACTGGCTATCGTCATACCGGGCTGTCATCGATTGCTACCGCCAGAGGGTTACAGTATATACCTTGAGCGGGGAGTGTTTCCATTTCTTGGGGGATCGGGTTGGTAGTGTGTTGCCACTGGTGTATGATCCGCGAGGGCGGAGTGAGCTTAGTGGTCTACTTGTAATACGTTTTGTAATGATTACTCTGATGAAATATATTTATGCTTTATTTTCTTATGTCTAAGCATGCTATTGTTGGATGATTTATGGGTTTTTTTTTTAGGGCGTTACAGAGAGTGGTGTGAGTTGAGTTGAGGATGTAGGATTCCCTCCTCCTCTTGTATCTCTGGTGTATTAATCTCTAGCTTCAGGGGATGCAAGCGTCTCAGTAAGGAGATGCAGACTATGTTGAATATTGGGCGTGACAAGATTAGTAGCAGTGTGGGTTTTTTTTTTAGGGCGTTACAGAGAGTGGTGTGAGTTGAGTTGAGGATGTAGGATTCCCTCCTCCTCTTGTATCTCTGGTGTATTAATCTCTAGCTTCAGGGGATGCAAGCGTCTCAGTAAGGAGATGTCAAAAATGGGGTGTCTACAGCGTGACAAGATTAGTAGCAGTGTGTGCAGTAGATCACCTCACATGGGTTGAGGGGGTGATTTGTTGATATCACCCCATGTGAGGGGTTATTCACAACAATGGGAACACACGAACTGAAATCAGCTGCAGCATGTCAAGGATTACGGTTGCCAACTGACAAGCCGCAAATGAGCTGGCCATGTGCAAGGCCAGCCTCTCCACCTTCATCTGTAATGTATATATATAGAGAGGGTGAGAGCAGAGTTTAATGTGGTGAGTAGTGAGTTCAAGAGAGAATACAGAGAGTGAGTGAATTGTGTAATTCTTTCATTTCTCCATATAGTGAAATCTGCTGCTCATGGAGGTAGGCGACTTGCCGAACCACGTTAAATCTCTTGTGTTATTGCTTGTATGTGTTTCTTGGTGTGCCCCCAATCCTAACACTCTCAACTTTGCACCAGTTACTCAAGTTTCACCCCAATACGGGGATAGAAGCTATCCGAGGCGATCAAAAGGCCTCAAAGGAGTGCTACAGGATTGAGGTAAAGCCGAAGAAAAAAGCGGTGAAGGTTCTTCCCTTTCTAATATAATAGGAATTAAATTTTTAAAATTTTAATTGGGTGTACAAAATTATTAGTTGGGCTACATGATGTATTAAACAAGTGATGGATTTGTTTTGTTTTGCTATGAACAGACTACCGCGAGGAAATTGGCAGAACTTAGCAGCAGAAAGGGGGTGACAACAATAATTGGAGGCGGTGACTCTGTTGCAGCTGTGGAGAAAGTTGGTCTTGCAGACAAGATGAGTCACATCTCAACTAGTGGTTGTGCAAGCTTGGAACTTCTAGAGGGGAAATCACTCCCTGGAGTTCTTGCCCTTGACGATGCTTGAGCAGTGCTTCAGTTTCTGTTGCTGTGTTGGATCTTTTTTGTGGATGCCTTTTATGTCTGGCGGTCTAACCAGCGTGCGGATTTGAATCTTGTAGTGTTATAATACTAGATCAAACTTTGAATAAACGGATTCTAGTGGGTAATGATCATTTGTGTTGACAGGCACTGAATTATCCTTCTTGTGTAGGTCATAATGGATAAATGTGATCTATATATTTTATTTTTGAGGTATGTTATTGAAGGACCTGGTATTGCTAAGATCAATAATATGATCATGCTGTGTTTACATGCAGCCCAAAACAAATATGATTTTTTTTTTTTTTTTTTTGGAGCTAAAACAAATATGATGTTTGGCCTAAAGAAATGTGTGTTTGGGTTTTTTGGGTTAACGGTGGGGTTGCTGTTGGTTTTATTTGAAACTCGTGTGCTAACATTAAAACTTGCTGGCTTCTTTCTCAAAGAATGACTAAATCCTTTGATGAACCGAATTGTTTATATAATATCAAACAATCATTGCATTTATGATGAATTATTTTATTTTAAAAAGTCATGATTGCACATAAAAAAATGAAGAACTGATGGGATTTCATACCAAATGATTTTGGCCACAGAATATTGTAAATGGAGAGACGATTGCGATGGGACTCGAACCCGCAATCTCCCGCTCTGGAGGCGAGCGCCTTATCCATTAGGCCACGCGATCTATTAAAGCTGTTCTCGGTTATATTACATTATAACTTGAAAACTCTACTGACAGCATCCAATAGCTTTACGTTACAAAATTTTACATATTTATACGAAAACAATTTCTACAAAAATAATAATATACGAAAAACTAACAAATAAATTAACTAGAAACAATGTTATATTGACATTACGTTAAGTGATGGAATCTGCCTGCAAACTTTATCTTAATTTGTGTATTTGTTGGGTATATTAATTATTGTCCCTCACATTATTATTTTCAAAAGGGTTGAAACGTCCAGTTCGCTCATGTGGACCCACCATGAGTCTATTTGAATAATCACATTCTTCATTTTGTAAGCTTTTTTTATGTGTAGATCATCTACGAAAATATCAGATTAGCTCGATAAACATAGCCATAAGATTATGTGGGTAACATAATTTTCTTCCAAAAATGCTTGCCAACATAATTTCTGATTTCCTAAATCACCCACGCATGCCTCTACTGACGCAAAATGTATAAAAGAAACTTTGAAGGGATGTTTGGTTCAAAGCATATGCAAGAACAAATATAGCAACTTCATCATGTACAAATGTGCAAATATACAACCAAACAAGATAATCTTAGGGCTACAAAGTTTTTACACTGTACACATACCTGCAAACATAACTGAGAATTACATGTAAAAAAAGTATAGTTGGAGAAGAAGATAGGTGCAATGCAAAGGCTAATCGCTCTTACAGAACTCTAATATATCATGTGCGACCAAGTTTCACTTGAGACATCTGCGAAGTTAAAGAACACTTGCATGATTTAACAATAGCATTTCTGCCCAATGTCCACCAAGATCAGCTAGTTTTTATTCCAACTTGGATGCTTCTTTACACATTAATGCCCTTTTATCAGCAATTTTGTTCCTCCATATCCATCATCTCCCAAAAGCTCATCTGCAACCACTAAATCTCTCCTCCATATCCATCATCTCTCAAAAGCTTCTCTGCAACCACTACAATCTCTCTTGGTCGGTACACTTTTGTATCTCAATTGTACATGCAGGTGAGAATGTTTACACACCCCATTCTAGATTGAGAAGATCCGATTGTTAAATTTCAGTCAAACTCTGACATAAGTAAGATACACAACTATAGTTTACCCATCAACAACAGTCACAGCAGCCAATTTCAAAGCGATGTCTGTAATTGCTGCTTGATAATTTCAGCTCCATTGATCTAGTGAATTTAAAACATACAAATTTATGAAATCAAATGCTAACAATTTGTAACATACATAATATGAAGAAACTCCGCATTGTAAGCTGCCATCGATGCATTGTTCCTTACTACCAGCAGGCTGCTTGGTGGTTCAACTCTCAGATCTGATTCTGGAGAAAAATCAAATAACTAGCAGTGAACAGCATCCTCTTGATATCTGAAAAGAGGATATATATGTACCGCTAAAAAAAAAAACAGAGACAAAATTGGGACAACCTGAAGATTGTAGAGGACAAATTTCATTCATATTAAAATTATGGCACTGACCTCTGATATAGTACAAAAGTATGATTGATTGAGAATTTTATGTAAACTACCTACCAGAAAAATACGTTAAAAAATACACAGGTAAATTACAGTTTTCATTCTAAAAAATTTCACCCAAATCTTACTTTGGTCCACCATCTTCTAATTGTAACAAATAAATATTCAGACTTTAACTCGCGTTTCAATGTAATCCTCCTATCACTCCACCGTTTGAAATTTGAGTAAAAGTTGAAACATGAGGGACTAAAGTGAAATTTGAGAGAAATTTAGAGTGTGAAGAGTGTAATTTGTCATATAAGTTTTTTTTTCTTCTAATGTCCCTAGAATGTGCTCGCGTGGCCCTCAGGTCAACACTTCCTGTCCAAATTTTTAGCCAAAGTGATGTGAGGACCACATTGAAACGCAAGTTAAAGTTTGAGGATCAAATTATTACAATTAGAAGATGGGGGACCAAATTAAATTTCAGGTGAAAGTCTGAGGGTGAATAGTTTAATTTACCCAATACACACAACATCTATCACACAGCAACGTATATGGTTTGTTGACATTTTCCACCTGAAATTGGGAAGGTCGGAAGAAATAAAAAGAAAATATATATAGGAGGGCAAAAGTTTACAGGAGATGGATGGATACCTGAATGTATAGAAACTAAAAAAGTATGACAGCATGAGAATCTGTCCAGGGTAGTACTATCAAAAACCTCCTTGATGTCCATGGATCATTAATATATTATGATGCAACAACCATCTGCTGCATTTCCCTTGTGACATCAACACAAGACTTGCATCTAACCCAATAAGAACAAGACATGTATGCAGCTCAGTGCAGCAATTTCAACTTTGGCTGCAAAAGAGGCACCCTCTTTTTAATGGACCAAAGAAAGCTGTATCCTGGATACTTTATTAGACTTCTCTCTTCCATTAATTTCCTTGTCTTCCAAACACTGTCCCACAAGCCAACTGCAGCATATGTTCCTGCTAAAACCACATAGTTGACCGACTTCTCAGGTTCTATGTTAAACAAATGCCGGGCTGCTACTTCTCCAAGAGACATATCACTATAGATGTTGCATGCCCCAAGAACAGCACCCCAAAGCGAGGCATTAGGCTTAATATTCATCTTTTGTATTAGAATATAGGCTTCTTCTAACTTCCCTCCACGTGCAAAGACGTCCACCATACAAGAATAGTGCTCAGCCCTTGGCAAGATATTGTATTTACCAACCATGTTATTGAAGCATTCCAACGCTTCAGTAGTCAAGCCAGCATGGCTACAAGCGAAGAGAAGAGTCAGGAATGTAACGTCATTTGGTTTCAACCCCTCACATTCCATCTTCTCATACAGCGCAATCGCCTTATGCCCGTAGCCATGCTTCCCATATCCAGCAATCAATGACGTCCATGAAATAACTTTTTCTGCTCCATCTCATTGAAAACTTGTTTACCATCTTCAATTTCTCCAGATTTTGAGTACATATCAATGAGAGTGTTTCCCATGGCTACATCATGTTTGGATTGACATTTCAACACCAAGGCATGAATTTGTCTTCCCAAATCCAGTGATGCTATATTGGCACATATATTGAGCATAGAGCATAATATAACATTATCAACTCCCATATGCATCCGATGTATTTCATTGAAGAGATCAAAGGCATCTCTACTATAGGTACCTTCACGTGCATATCCAGTGATTAATGCAGTGCACACTATTGTATCTTTTTTTAGCATCCTCTTGTAAATCCGATCTGCAATTCTAACACTCCCACATTTTGCATATGCATCAATCAATGATCCAATCAAAATATTATGCGATTCACAGCCCAGTTGAATGATGAATCCATGTATCTGAATGACCTTCATCAGACTGCTTCCTCCAACAAAGGCTTTCATAATACTACCCAAGGTAAAGGAATCAGGGATCATACCTATTAAAATTTGGAGTTGGAATAAGGGCAAGAAAAAATTCATAAAGGGAAACAATATATCCACATTCATGAAACAAAGTACCAGCTAAAATATCAGTGCTTACACTTGTTTGTAATATATGCCATTGATTGATAACTTCCAATGGATAGTTGTTCATTAAGTTGAGTGTACATACTAAAGATCTAATCAAACAAGATTGACTATGGTTAGGATTGAAACACAAATGAATGTTCATTTGAAAGAAAAAACACAATGAGTGGCTACATCTTCTGTCTCTTGTCTTGAGCTTGCCAAGTAACTCAAACATTTAAAATGCAGCATAAGTAGTATTAAAATTCATTGCAAGTAAGTTAAAAAGTTTATGCTTTTAATGAGAAAAGGCTTCTTGGCATCTATTATCACTTTCTTAAAAAATTGATTGCCCCCTTTATGATCAACTAAATGTGAAGGTGCTTTACTTATTTTGGGGAACCCAAAAAAGTGCATATGAAACAGAATAATCTGATAACAAATCTTCTAGGAATCTAGGTGGAAAAAGAGATGATGAGATAAGCATGCATCATAGTGTTCAAAAGAATTTTAGTAGATTCCTATGAGACCCCTCAACATCAAGTTATACTATGAGAATCCCAGTTTTGCTCTCACATTTTTACTCATGTTTTCAGGGATTTTTTCTTTGAAGATATCCTTTGGGCTTAACCGAATCCTATTAACATTTCACTTCATAAAACTATTTTGCTTGTATTCATAAATACCATTTTAATTTCTACAAATCTATGAGTTCAAATTTACACTCAACCATATGAAATGCGTTGGATTACACCATCTAACTACCTAAATAACTTTACAC